TATATATATATATAAAAATGGAAAAAAAAAATACAAGACGAGGGTAGCCTCAAATTGGCCAAGCTGACGAAATTGCGGTAGCTTGAAGTACCCCCAAGCGTTTATCGGGCATTTGTTGCTAATAATGTTGTCGATGTGACAAATACTAATACAAAGCCCATGCCATCTACATAATGACTGCGCCAACAATATTGACCGTTTCTCAATATCTGACGATTAGCTAATCCCGTTTCGTATATATGTACATATATTTATACTTGACTAAATCTCACTGCCAACATGACTGATGGAACTAGTATATTTAAATGTGCACTGCTGTCAGGCGATATTTCTGAATGCTCTTATTTGTTGAGCCTGATTTGGACTTAGCTAAAGCCTTAAAGATATAAACAGCTAAGCCTATTGAACACTATTGCGATATGGCTTCGAGATTAAAGATGTTTAGCTAAGCTTCAATGTGGCGCTAGTTGTGTTTGATCCCTAATGCTGGGAGCAGTGGAGGTATGAGTGACTCAAGTTCGATGTTATATGCAATATTTTTGTGCCTATGATATTATTGCCTGGGCTTATTAAATATAATTAATAGGAAGAATTAGTTAACTTAAGCATAGTTTTCGTATAAAATGAAAGAACTTTAATATCATTCATCTTCTGTACAGAAAAATCTCATATATATCGCATTTGCTTTAGCTTTTTTTTTTATGGATAAAATTTAGGCTAATTATTATTAAAGGAATTTTAGAAAAATAAAAAGTATTTATTTTATTTGCCAGACCGGGTAGCTAAGCCTTTACTATAATTTCGACACTTTGTATAAATTGCTCAAGCTTCAAGCAGGCTTTCGTTCATTTCCAAATTCAATTTAATATATAATAACTCAATATTTATATTCGAATAAACTTTGTAATAGAACATTGTAGAAAATGGCAGGCAACGACGTCCTGATTGTGTCGCCGCTGAACGTGAAGTTCCAATCTCCGTTTCCGCACATACAGAAGCGACAGCTGAGTCTGCTCAATCTGGGCTCCCAGCCCGTCGACTACTCCATAGACATTGACAATGCGACGCTCTTCCAAGTACAGCCCACCTGTGGCCGCGTGTCGGGCTTCGACACCATCGAGCTGAGCATCATCATGCAGCCGGTAGAGGGTGATCAGCCGGGCTGCTCTTTGAGAGTCAAGCACAGGATCAAGGACGTGTTGGGTAGTCACCAGGCGCTGGAGGATTGGAAGGATGCGCGAGTAACTGTGGTTGCCATTACGCTCGAGAACTCTGTGGTGAACGAAAAGGAGTTGCTCAATATGTTTGGCGAAATCGATGGAAAGACCAAGGACCTCATCGAGATCATGGAGAAGCAGTACCAGCCCTTGTGCCACAAATGCAGTATGAAGCGCTTCCAGCAATCTGCAAAGAAGCGCAACAAGCTAAGGCATCTCTGGTGGCCGTTTCTGGTAGCCGTGCTGTCGCTATTGAGTGAGTGTAGCCATCATCTAAATCTCGTCACATTTAAAGGGCTTCCTTTGTTCAGGTTACTGTCTGTGGTCGCTAAGCAGAGTGTATGAGTACAACCCTGACGCGGCCTACTAAAGGGGCGAGCTGGAGGCGTGTAGCTGTAACAACAATGCAAATCAATTATTAAATTATGCAAATAGAAAACTACGCCTCAAGCAAACACACGTTTCTGCCTGCCACACCCACATGCACACTTACGGCAAGTCAATTCGAGCCGAGTCGAGTCGAGCTGAGATTGATAAATCAATCATACGCGCCTTTGGCTGCGGCTTTAAATCAAATGGCTGGCTGTCTGCTTGATTAGCTTAACTGCCGTTTCATTAGTTTGATTTTGCAGTGCAGCGATTGAGACAGCCAAGCACCACAATCAACTACACACACACACACACACACACAAATACACACAGACGCACACACGAAGCTGGTTGCTTGGATTTATTTATAAAGCAATTATTGCCACAATTAATTTCTGATTGCATTCGAGACGCGTATCAGCTATATATTGCCGTTACCTTGGATTGTTGTTGCTGTTGCAACTTTAATTCATTTACGCCTGTCTGGAGCAGTTGCTTTATGATGCCAATTAACATTTTGTGTGGCAATTCAATTTACTTTGGCCTTCCCACTTGAAATTCTAATGCAAATCCCTTGCAGCGACAGCCAAACTACAAATTGATCCCCCGGGCACTCCGCTAAAGACCACGCTGCTGCCCTCATGACAGCCAATTCATATTTATTTTATACAATTTGCACAAAAATGAGCGACACGACACCAGCCGACGTCACATCCGTCCTCGGCCCGGACAGACCCGGCCCGGCCCAGGCACTTAAAATGCCACCAGCCACTGCAAATATCCCCAATGACTCTTTTTCTGCATCGTTCAGTATTCGTTGGCCCGCACTTCTTATGCCGTTTGCTGGCATTTTTATCACCCAGCTGTAAATGCAACAAGATGAACGCAACCAAATACTTGAAAAAGAAAAGTTCGTTAAGTATTTCGCATGCAGACAATGAACGCTTGAGAGCTGGACAGTCGTTAAAAGCGTGTTATGGCATGATTATAAACTTGAGAGAATGCGAGTTTGCTTTATGGCGGATTGAAGTGAAACAAAATACTTAAATTCCAAGCGGAAGGAGCGGAACGCAAACCTTTATAAATGTGCGTAGCTTAGGCTGCGACTTGAAACGAAAAATATTCAAAAGTTATTCAGACTTAATCAGCTTTAACTGTGGCAGTGTGCTTTACGTGACGTTCAGACTTCAAAGCCTTTCATACACAACAATATTATTAACTAACTTACACCACTTAGCTAAGACAGAAACACATACAAGCCTACATTATCTTTATATCTCTGTGCGCTCTTTGTTCAACCATTTGTTCAATAAATAAACAGAACTTTCAAATCTTAAAGGCAGTCAGTTAAAAAAAAAAAATAAAAATAAAATTGTTCTGTTCAATTCATATAGATTTAATATAAATGCAAAAGTTTTCATATACTTAATAATTTATTTTACAATTTTCGTTTGTACGCTTTTCAGCATTAAGCCTATTGATTCAAGAACTCAGACTCATATTTCATTTCGTACTCAAAGAGTTGGAAATGTTCACCCGAAATCAGGAAATGATAGTTTCACTCCAACAACTGCAACAACAAAGCAGGGACATGCCACTACAGCAAGCTCTTCTTACAGTTCTTTCAGCTTACATTAGATAACGTACGTCAGTTAACGGTAAGCGATTGCAGAAAAGGTCACTGGCGAGGGTCATGTGCCCATGCTGGTAATAAAGCAAAATTCAATTTGTTGCCGCAATTTATGCCGATGCGAACTAAAAAACCGTTTGCTGCATATCCGATTTAGTTGTTGTTGCTATTGCTGTTGCTGTTTCGCTTTATCACAATCAGAATTTATGTGACATAAGGAAGTAAATTTGGGGACTTTGTTCTATCCAGGCAACCAACAGGCCGGCCTCTCGCTCAGTTGATTGTATTGAGAAATGAATGAAATTAGAATGTCTGATGGCATTTTGAATTGGATTTCGACGTTTGTTCTTTTGCGTGTCTCTCTCTCTTTCTCTCTCTCTCCCGCTCGCTCACTAGTCCTCTCGCTCAGTCGGATGTTCCTTTTTGGTCTGCTCGTGCTTGTTGCCGTGTTTGTTGGCCAATTTCAGGCGACACCACAAGACAGGCCACAAAATGGCGTCCTAGCTGTGGCCCCCGGTCAACCACAGAACCATTTCCGTGTGCCCTTGCCCGCCCTCCGCCCGCTTTGCCCCTTGCCACCCTTCGCTTTTGATTGCTGTTGCATGTCAAAGATTTTGAGAGTCAAATGAAAATATTTTGTTTTTGCAACACTGGAAAAAATAGGGAGTGAAATGAAAAAAAAAAAAAAAAATATCCTGAATAATTACTGAAATTACAAACTAGATTTTTAATATTGAGCTGTAACATTAAAGCATTAAAAAAGTATCTTAAAGCCGATTTTTTTTTTAATTTTCGCTGAGTGCAACCGATGAAAAATGTCAAATTTTTTTAAGTATTGCGCAACAATTTTGCAAAACATTATTGACATTTCAATTGCAAAGCTTTCCATGTGACAGATATCGAGTGGCAGCAATAGCAAATGGAATGGAATAAAGTAAAAAAGAAGAAAACATGTGATTAAATTTGATTTATAAACAGAACAGAAAACAACAAAAAAAGTTTGTTATTTACAGTATTATAGAATCAAGCGAAATTGTGCCAAATATTCCCCATGACCTACTCGCAATCAACAAGGTATTTCTAGCCGAGCATACCCCGCCAGTGATGCCGCTTTTGCATGCTAAATATTTTCATGTCTGTTTTGTCACGCTGTTCGCTTACACAGGTCGTGGACTCGGTAGCGGGCGACCCCTGATGCCGCAGCAGGGGCAGCCCCCCTTATGGCTCATTAAATTGTTAAAAGAAATTCTTGAGGTGTTTGGGCCAAGTGCTCTGGCCACCTTTGATGGCTGTGGCACGAAGCACGCATAAAACCTACAAATGCCACAAATACGAGTCAAGTTTTTCGTTTTCTTGTTGTTCTGTTGTTGTTTTCGGGCAAAAGTTTTACGAGCTTATCCCAAGAAAGAACTGCGAGTTTGAAGCAAGATGAAAAACACACGAAAACAAAGGCCAACAAGAGGAAGAAAAGCACACGAAAAAGCAAAACACGTGCCAATAACGCTGACTGCAACAAGCAACAACCGTCAACCGGAAACCATAACAACAACGTCAAACAACTCTGATGGGCTGAATTAAAACATGCCCCGGCCGCACTGCCGAAAGATACCGTATTGGGCTGCAGCAGCCCAGGTTGCGGTGGGCGTGGCCGGGGTAAAAAAAAAACAAATGTTATAAGGTGCCAAAGGCCATAAAAGATGCAATCAAAATCAAACTGATTTGTCTCCGGGGAGCGTTGCCAACTTTTATGTTTACGAGCGGGTCATGGAGACTTGAAAGTAGTGCATCGACTACAGATACCCTGTACAGGCTAGCAATTTTCTTTTCCATTCAATTGGAGTTGCAACTTTTCAAAACATTATTCGCATTATTATTAATTTATAAGCCCATTCAATTTAGAAATTATGGTTTTTATTTGGGCTTTTTGTGCTTAGCTTGGCTTAGATTGTATCTATAGGGCCAAATATCTGCATATGAATAGTTTATAGAATTTTATTTTTGTGGCTTTGGGCCGAAAAATGTGTAACGTTTACATGAATAAATAAATAATCAATGCGTTTATTATGCTTGTAATTGAATTTTTGAATATGATTTTTAACTATTTACTTTTTAATTATGCTATCTATATATAGATTGTTGAGCCTAATTTGCCTCACTGAATAATTAAGTGCGCGACAAATTAGTGATCAATGCAGTGCAGAGGGAGATAGAATGAGAGAGAAAGAGCGCTTAAAATTGGGAACCTTTTCAGTAAGATACGGCTTGGAGCTGCCAAGAGTTGGCGTAGATCAAAGTAAAATATATATATCACATATATTTAAATATATTCAGTAGGGAATTTAAAGCTCTTTAAAATTGTTGTTGTTGCTTAAGCATAGTACTCTTAAATTAACAAATTTGAAAAACTTTTTTTGTATGCAGTAAATTGATTAAAAATAAAAATATAAATAAATAAATTTAGTGTAATATATATATATCAGATATATTCATATACTCGTATATACAGAATATATTAAAGTAAAAACAATTTAACATTGTTTTTCAAAATTTCTCTGAAATTTCTAAGCTTTACCAATATAAGAGCTATTATTTGTAATGAATAGAAACTCTTCAACTAGTAGATATTTAGTTAAACAACAATTTAGTTATAACAACTTTATCTATATCTAATCCTTAGCTTGAGTACTGGGAGTAGTTGCTTCATGGCGCACCTTAATCAAATAGTTTATAGTAGTAGTGGCCTTTGCCCACTCCGAAAATGGTATACGGAAGGCATTTGTATTGTCTGGTTGGCGCACAGGAAAGGGAAAGGGTCTACGTCCGTTAAACTGGCTTTAATTAGACAATCGTGAAGTCGGCTAAGTTATGGGCTGACTCTCTGCTGCTGCTGCTGCTCGCCTCGGGCTGAGTCGTGAAATTTATGCGTTAAAATTGCATAATTTTCAGACACACACACACACACACAGACACTGAGGTACACGCACAGCAAAAGTTTGCACATAAATTTAAGAGTCAAGGTAAGAGCGCACAGTTTTGACTGCGTTGTCCCCCTCTCCACCCCTTGGTTGCCTACCAACTGGCCATTGGCGTGTGTCCCTTGCCTCATATTGAATTAAACACTTTGTGTTTCGGTCGCCTCAGCAGTGTCTTTTGATGCTGGCCGTTTGCACACACACTCACAGATACACTCGCCACACACTCGTACGATTCGTTTTTAATTTCCTGTTTCTGTTCTATAGCTTCTGCGCTGCGATTGCTGTCGGCTTCAGTCTGCTCTGTTATCGCTCCCTTCCCCTCGGCTGTCGCCACACTTTTCCCACCAATTGCAAATATGGCCCAAAATTTTGGTGTTTCTCTTTCGCTTGTGTTTTTTATTTGGTTTTGCTTATAGCTGTTGTTGTTGTTGTTGTTGTTGTTTTATATCCACGCGGTCGGCTGTCTAATAGTTTTTACT